CAACCTACTTTATTTAGTATACTGTGATACTTGAACAAGTTTAATTCAATTTGTTTCTCAGTTGACACCTATATCAAATATTTGAAAGAAATTAAAATGTCATTATTCTGTTCTAGCCCCCTCCCCCCCTCTTTTTTCCACAAAAAAAATCACAGATTTTGGATTTTTAATCAAGCTTGCACTTTATATCGGGCTGAATGATTTTGAAAAGGAATCAAATTGCCTTTCTTTCCCACCCCTTCTAAATATTGCAATTGTGATTTTAAATACTTTTTTTCCCCAATCTCCTCTTCCAATGTATTTCTGAACAAACATACGCGATAAATGAATCTGAATTTCAATAAATTTCAGATTTATTCAAGATGAATTTCATTTCGACTTCAATTAATTGTTAATTTGGTCAACACTTTGACTTCGGGTTTTTCTAAGTGTTCACTGTCAAGCGTGGCATAATCATAAATCATCAACTCACAAACCAAATTACAACACTAAAGCAAAAAAAAAAAAAAACTGTGGCTTTATCATTTCAATTGATCACGTCTCATGAAATAGGAAACCTACCACCTGACCAAAAATGATGAAATTTTTTTTTTCCCAATTTGCAGCCTTCACGATTCGAACATTGTATTAATTTTTTGGCCCTAACTCTTTTGTATGAACACAATCAAAGAGAAAACAACTGGTTTTATAAAGTGTTGTATTCTTGTGTTAAGTGTGGGGTTTTAAGGGGCGTGGCCTATTGAGTGGCAATAGGTAGCTGGAGTCAGGTTGGCCTGTGCTGGAATTTCGGATTTGTGTGTTTGACCTGTTCAACAAACAGCTGACTGTGTATCCAATTGCTCCTCCCCCCAGCCCCACTTCCCGTATCTGAAACTTACTCATACTTCAATTCATACTTCAAATTTTGGCTCGCAACACAAAGCTAAAAAAAAAAAAAAAAATTATCAGGTGAGCAACATTTCTATTGTTGACACTCTTTTCAATTAAACAAGCGTTTGAGCGAGGGAGCGAGTCTGTCAACATTACCGTAAATGACACGTCATCAAGTTCTCAATCCACCCGTTCTTTTTCAAAAGACGATGAACCGCCAGTCATTGATTGGTGGAGACTGATGAGCTTCCTTTCCTCCAACGCTGGCTGGCAACAGATGAACTAGCGAGCCCTCTCGCTGATTATTGGCAAATGAAAAAAGAACATCCGCAGGCCTATGCAAGGGGAAAATATTATTGACTTCTCACCACAGCTACTATTTATTTTTTTTCCCCCCTCTTTTTCTGTCCATGTATTTGTTTTTGAAGCTGTTAGTGTCTTGCCTCAGAATATTTTTGTAACAGCCTTTGATTGAACTGGAAAGGAATGCCTTTAATCGTGGCTACAAAAGAGCCAAGGGACATGTCCCCGTCAGTTTGCAACAGATCTAGACAGATGAGGAGGAGGCGGACTGGAGGAGTGAGCATTGTTAACAGTCTGTGGGGAACTGTTTTGCGTGCCCTGTGGTTTCTTGTCTCTGTGAAATGGAGACTTGCTGATTTGGTTTCCCAGGCCCCTTTTTTCTCAAGGCCACACAAAAAACCAAATGAAGACGTTCCGGTCTGTCCCGATGCAGTTTCTACCTTTGACGGCAGTGTGACTATTCAGTGTGAGATGGCACCCGCGGTCTCACACGGAGAGCGATTGCAGCCATCTGATTCGAAGCGGTGTGGGCATGTCTGGAATAGACATTCCGGTCATTTTCGGATTTGTTCGGATTTAGAAAACTTTGCTTTTCCTTAAAGATAATGAAAATACAGTAGAATTATAGTCAAAGTGCTCTATAAATACAGTTGAGTTGAGTTGAGAAACTGTGCACAGGTGTTTTTTTTCAATGGCGCATGCCACTATTAATTGTTCTGTCCTTTAATCAGGTTTGCAAGATAATTTAGATTTGGAATGCTCAGAATGTTCTTTTTCAAGCTATTTTAGTCAGTTGAAAAATGCCCCGGATCTTGAATGGTCCGATTTATCCTGCTGTTAATTGGGAATTTCTCCATTGCGAGACTAATAAAAGATTTCTTATCTTATCCATAATATGAAATATGTGGATTTGCTTTTCCCCTCAAATAGAATATGGAAGAAAACAGTTTTCCTCTGATTGGGAGTTGCTGATATTTCGTAGGCTTTGGAGGCCATGTTGGGAATTCACCAAGCGATAGCAATGGCGACGCGCACCCACTGAACGACATGGACACCTGTATACGTTTTTGAGGCTACAAATAGGGTATATTTATTACTAGTAATACACCATAAAGAGATGGAGTAACAATCAAGGCAGAAGCTTGTTGCTACAGAAGAACGACATGGTCTGGAATAAAGGAGAACATAAAACTTCATAGATTATATTGGGCTTTTTAATATTGGTAGAAAGAAGTTAGCGACTGTTAAAAGGGTAAAAGCGATCAAAAGTGTGCTCAACCATTTCACTTGTCAACAGCAAATTTGAATCAGAGACGGCTTTATGGGTTCATCATTCTATTTTTGGTGCTGATTTCAAAAGTGGCTTTACTTTTTTCTTGCACATCAGGTTTTTGAAATATTTAAATTTTAAAATATATTTTTTTAATTTTTTGCACGCAATACGTATTTTACCGTACGTTGTCATTTATAGCTGTAACAGTTCTGAAAAAAATCATTGCAGGTATTTCTTTATTTCTTGATTTATTTTTAATAAACTCCTGTTTGAATTCCGATTGCTATGACTTCAGGGACATTTGATTTCTGATATTCAACTGCACAGGCAAATTCAACATCCCCGATGTTCATCGCGTCTCAGAAGTGTCAGCAATTGGGACAATGAGAGCGAGGCGATTTAAAAAGCACTGTCATGTTTCAGTAAAAACTTTTTTTTTTTTTTTAACTACATATGACTCCTTTTCAACATCTCATACAGAGCTAATACTTCACAAAAGTGGAGGTCAAGCCATCATGAAACCATCTTGTAAAATGGCCTTCCCTTTTGTTTGTTAGGGGCCAAGTTAAACTGTAAGCCTTTCACATCGACCTTGTAAATTGCGGGGTGGAAGCGATATCTGGCAGCACAGTATGCAGGCCAGGCCAGTGGTTGCTGCATTACTACGTTAGGTGGGCATTGGTTGTATTTGGGGGGGGTCAGCAAGAATATGAGGGGCTTAAGAATTCCAATCTCTGCACCTCCCCTTTTTCAGTTGGTTCACTCCTTGTTCTAGCTGTCTGCTTTTACTGATGAGTGCAATCCATTGCTCTCTTGATGCTTCCTTCCATCTTACTCCTCCACTTGCTTTTCCTCTCCTTTTTTCAAGCCTGCTGTTTTCCCTCCTTCTTTTGCTTCCACTCTCTGACAGACAAGCACCAGCCCTTTGCAAAACATTACGTCAAATCCCCCTTGACCGGGGTGCCAGCTGTTGATGTCACCCCTTGGGGAGGCGGCGCGGGGGGGTTTAATTTAGGGATTTCCGCTGGGTAAGACTAGGGGCAGCCCCGTTGATCTCAGCCCACACAGCCACATGAAGAGGCCGAACGGAGCAGGAGCAGGCCAACATGGGTCAGTGCATGGTCCAGTAGTGTGGGACCACTTTGCTGGGGTGGGTTAACCTGTGAGCTCTATTCATTCCACTAAGCATGGTTCAGTTCAGTTCAGGTCTGTCCTGTATGATTTTTTTTTTTTTTTGGGTCCATTTCCATTTTAATGAGTGTCAAAATAAGTTTTTCGTTGGGGTTAGGGATGGTTTACCGTTTACTGATAAACATTTATAGACTAAATGCAGTGAATCTCCATTGGAAGTGGGGTTTTTTTTTCCATTTAACCCTTTCTTGCACCAATAATGATAACCTATAACCTGATAAAATGATAGGCTGTCCAATGTAGTCACCGCTGTCCCTGAAAGGATTAAAACATCCATTGATCGGAACCAGTATCAAAAGATTACGCACTTTGATTCAAACTAGCAGGTCTATTATCTCCGCACCGGACACTTCAAATTCAAATTTAGATTGGAAATAGACATTAGGAAGCACCTCTCAGTTTAGCCACAGTCATAAAAATGCATAATATCCAATATTCAAGGCTGTATTAGACATACAGCTTTTAGAGAGTGAAGAAAATCACAGAGTAACTCACAATATATGAACACAAAATTTTGCCAGCAGTATATTGTAGACAATACAGCAATGTCGATATACTGGTAGAAAAATAAAATTCAACTTTCATACGTCACTAGTGGGTGTTTGATGGACACCTCTGGCAACTAATGAAGGTTTGTCAGAAAATGTATCACGAACTGTGTTTTTGCTGTTGATTTTATGAAATTGAGACATTCCATTGGCAAGCTACATTGCTGGAACTTGATGCAAGTGTACCGTAACGATACGATACATTGTGATACCAAGATAATTCACTGATTTGTTCTGGTCTTTAGGCTTATTCCTGGTTTTGCATATTCCACTGGTCAACAAATGTGTCCATTTTTTTTTTTTTAAATCAAAGATGCATGTAAACTTTTTTTCATTAACTTTTTTGTCCCAATTCCAAATCGGGCCTTGTTTTGTTTTGTTTTTTTTTTCTCTGCCACATCAGGTTTTCATAATTCAGAATAATCATATGATCCAACAATAGCAATAATATATGTAATATATATAATGTAGTTTTTATAAATCAAGGATTGGGTTCAGCAACAGGTGTTTTTCTTTTTCTGAAACGGCATACCTATAACAAAGTATTGCGCAGGCTTTTATTGGTCAAACTTAAAGGGGAAGTCAACCCTAAATTTTTCTTGACAATAAGTTCTATGCAGCCCTACTAATCAATGAGTTAAGCAATTTTGTCCATTCCAGGCGGCGGCCATTTTCCTTTTTTTTTTTTTGTTAGGTTATTTTTTCGTTTGTTTTGTTTTCTTTTGACACCTTTCATTACCTTTTATTTGTTGTTCTATTTCTTCCACCAATACATTGGAAGATTGTAAACAGTGCCTTTGTGTCTTTTTGTGCAGTACCACCCTCTGTCACTGTGCAACACAAGCGAAGATGAACGGCAAGAGAGCGACTTCATCACCATCGTCAAACTGGAGCAGAGGGTTCCTCGCTGTCTGCCGCTGCTGGATAAGGTAGAAACCAAATCTTCATTCCTGTCGAAACACTTTCATCGACTTATTTCCCTTTCCGCCGTGGCAACCCGTCCGTCATTTGGTATCATCATTCCACATCTGATTCCGCTCTTAAACTTAAAAGAGAAAATGGGAATGATTTGGGAGAGGATGGTGATGGCTTTCGCATAGGGGGGTGGGCTTAGATCAGAGGTGCTGCGAAGCATGTGGCGGTGAGCCATGGCTGTGGATACGAGACTTTCAAGGCCAGCTGTCACTTGTCCCGTCTCAGCCCATCAGATCCAGAGCATAGGCCATCTCCATTTCTGCTTCCCTCTAATATGAGAGCAGCCAGAACTTAGAGCCACAACGGTTAAGACGTATGTGCAAGTGACCTGGATCTCCCTTGTGTTTAAGTATTCTTCCATGCGCACGCTAACTTAAAAGGAGTGTGATTTAAAACTGTTGCTATTTTCCTCCTTTTTCAAGTGGTGGCACAAATTAGCAGGCAGGAGTATAGTTAGGGGGGGACTGCCTTTTTTAGCTCGTGTTTTCTTTTCCCCTAATTTAAAGCCATGTTGTCGAGCTGGCCGCCATGGTGATGATGTTGAGACATTCCCACACATTTGCCGTCGTCCTCCTCCTCCTGTTTGCTCTCTCATTGGGAGCCAAAGAAAGTTGAGGAAAGGGGAGGGATGGATGTCACTCTACGCTTAATGCAGAAATGGTTTTGATTAAAGCCTTAATGGCATCACTGTGGTGTCCTGTGAACGAAACACAGTCCGAGCGCTTCCTCCCTCCCGCCTTTGAAATCAAGAGGAGGGGAGGCGGGAGGGCGTTCTTGTTCCTGTTGTTGTTGTTGTTGTTATTGTGGTCTCTAAAATATGTGCTCCAATAGAAGCTCCACTCCAACCACCTGCATCCTTGCTTCCGCGCTTTTGGTCTTGGACCTTTTTTTTTTTCGGGGATTCATCATGCAGCTGCTTGGTTAGTTTGCCCTCCTTTGAAAAGGATGAGTCAGATGGTTTGGATGTGCGGTTCTTTGAATGAGACTTGTTTACAGTTTAGTCTGACTGTAACACACCCCTCTGATCTATAGATACTCTGATGCCCACAGAGGGTTCATTTTGCACCACACACACACGCGCACACACACACACACACACACACACACACACGCACACACACACTAAAAATAGACTGCAAACTAAATAACGTGAAGCTGCCAACTTTTATGATTATACTTTGTCTTCATTTTTTTGGGGAGGTGCACTCGGTATTCTCAGACACACAGTGAGGCCAAACCTGGCATTGATGTTCACTTGCTTTCTAATTGTGAAGGAGCTGCTACTTTTTTTTCCTCCCTCTCTGAACCACTCGAGTTAGTCTGTGCCTCTGCAGTGATTCGAAACATTAATACGACTTTGCTCGGTCCACAAGTACAACTCTTTCTCCAACTGGACAGGACAGGTTGTGTATTGGTATATATGGCCGTCAAATGCTACCCTCTACTGGTACACACAATTCTGGACTATCCGGAAAAACGTTAAAATAATATAATATACATCGATCGGCCACGTATTTCGGTACACCTGCGCGCGCATGTCGAATGAGGACCCTTTCAAGAGCTAAATCAAAACAAGGATCAACCATTCCAGCTGTCCCGTTTGCACCGAAACCGATATGACTGTAACTACCTCCGTAGCTAATCAGCACAACATTCTGGAATGCCTTTCTATTTCAACATTGGCGCAGCATTCAAAAGTAACAAGAGACAAAGAAGTTGGTGGGGTGACAGTTCATTTGGTGGAGAGAAAAATCAAATGAGAGTCACACTGAGAACGAGACCTCTTGACCATTTATTTAGTGCATCCTTAACCATTAAAAATGTTTAGCCAGTACTAAAGTGGCAAGGTTAGTGATTCACATAGCCCACTTCTGTGCAGCCAGTTCCCATTCAGGCACATTTCATTTCACTAGTCATTAGTCTAGCATGTGTTCTACCATCCCTGCAATGGCCCTGAACAGGATAAGCAATTTAGCATTTTATTAAATTTTTTTAAATAGCTGCATGTGTTTTTGTAAAATTGTGTGAGACCATATCGGCCCAAATATAAGACAGCCCTGATTATAAGACGACCCCCTCTTTTTCAAGACTGAAGTTCGAAAAAAGACTTTGAACACCAAATTAATTTTTATACAGAAAATAATTACGGTACATCTGAAACAAATGATTCTAACAATATATTTGAGAGAAAAAGCATGTTATTTTGCCTCATTCAAATCTTTATCTGAACATTTAAATATGTAAACTAAAGTGCAATCACATTCGTAAATGAATGGCTTCTGGTTTTTGAAATGCAAATTACATCATAACTTCTCCTCAGCTGCCGATCTTCGACCCACTTTTCTCCAGATTGTCACTACCTTTCTCCATTTTCTGTTATCTCTTCTATTATTTTCTTCTCTTTTCCTTTTTACCGCTATTTTTATTTTTATTCTTCGTGACAGGGGTTCACTTTGGCCTGGGGAGTCAAGTTCAGCATTCGCTTTGATGATATCTGGCGCCATCTAGCGTCGTGAATGGGTATAACGTCTGGACCCCGAAGAGAGACGACCCCCACTTTTTCAGTCTTATTTCAATGCAAAAAACACGGTCTTATATTCGGGCCAATACGGTAATTGGTTCACTTTTTAACTCAACATGTTTCTCATCTTAGAAATGATGAATTATGATACTTATACTCAATGTTGCCCAAAGTTAATGGGCTGCACGGTGGAAATCTGGTTAGCACAACTGCATTCCCCGTGTGGGGTCTGCGTGTTCTCCCCGTGCCGCGTGGGTTTTCTCCGGGTACTCCGGTTTCTTCCTACGTCCCAAAAACATGCGTAGCAAGTTCATTGCACACTCTAAATTGCTCCTAGAGGGGATTGTGAGTGTGAATGGTTGTTGTTTGTCTATGTGGGCTCTGCGATTGGCTGGCAACCAGTTCAGGATGTACCCCTCCTCCCGCTCAAAAACTGCTGGGATAGGCTCCCGCATGCCTCGCGACACTTGTGAGGATAAGTGGTTCGGATCATGGATGGATGGATAAAAAGTTGATTCAAAATGAATGGAATGACTGTCCACATCTGTTCCAGGCCAGCCAGGCACCTCTTATCCAGTCACAGTTGCTTCATTCAATTGTTCATTCATTCATGTGCCTGAATCCAAACTGTCGCTTCAGTGACGTGACATAAACTCAAGCAACTTAATTACTCTCTTACCCAACCATCAGACTGTATTGGAGGCGATCTGTTATTGGCTTTTTTTGTTTGTTTGTTTTTGTTGACACTAAGCCTTGAAACAGTTCTCAGAGCAACGCATGATTCATCGGGCAAAGACATTGCAGCGGTGCCAAGAGGCCGAGTCTAAACTCCACAAGAGGCTTCCTGTACTTTGCTCTGAATAAATGCTGTAATCTACAAAGTTCAAAGCACAGTTTTATGTTTGGGAGGTTTGACTGACTTTTCATTCATTCAGACACAAACCAGCTCCATCACAAAGAATCCCCATCGTTTTTGTGAGAACAACCCCCACACTGATTGAGGGTTTTGGCCCATGTCTGAACCTGTTGACTCTTATAGAAAGCCTCGCTTATTGATTCTAACTCCTCTGATGAAAAGGGCTTTGCCGCGATTGTGCCGTAATCCTGTTGTCGTCAACTCGGCTTTTGCTGTGCACATGCGTGGATCTTTGTGCGTTATCGGGATCGTGCTTCCTGAAGACGACTGTCCAAATTTTTCAAACGCTTTCAGGAAAATTATTCACTTTGTGAGAAGACAGGAGCATTGTTTTCCTTTCAGTCACAGCTTAGCAACTATGCAATCATGACATGTAAACAATGCAAATAGTAGCACAGAACAGCAACCTACAAACCGACATTAATATTTGCTTCACATTTTTTTTTTTTTTTGACAAAAGGCAAATTTTTGACAAAAGGCAGTTTTCACTCCTCTACAAGCTACACCATGTAATTAATGACAGATGCTTCTGTTTCAGAAGGGACATTTGTTTTCACAAATGCTCGTGTAAAGACGCACCTGTGCAAGTGCTCTGGCAAAGTCCCAAAGTAAGACAAGATGTATTCCTCCAAAGAATTAACAAACCCCCAACAACTTTAAGCATTACATTGATGACAATGTGAGCTGTAATACGATATGATTTGTCGATTCGAGTTTCCACTTGCTGCTCTGCTGTAAAACCTTGATGTGGTTTTTGTTTGTTCAGATTTTTTTTTTTTTTTTTTTTACTTAAGCAATGTTTAATTTTCGACCAGATTCTCATTGGTGGAACGAAGGGACTGCTAAAAAAAAGTGAAACCAATAAACCACGGTGATTGTTTCATATTTTAACCTTACAAACTATATTTGGGTTAGGTGTTGCGCCCGCTATGCTAGTGCATGAGGGAATACCATAACTATGATTTAAGTTTTTGAGTTCTTTTGGCAATATTGGGATATCGTTAACTTAGGTCACTGTAGTTAATGTGCATTGTTCAGACAGTTTCATCTCGACAGAATGGAAGGAAAACGAAAGTGAGGGACAACAGAGAGAGAATTCTATTCAAGTTTAGGATGTACTCAGCTGGAGTTTAAACAGTTTTAAGAAAAGAAATATAAATAAAAAAAATACAGATACCTATATAAATACATTTTAAATGCAAAAGAAAAAAGATAACTCACATCTGCCACCCAAAGTACTTTTTACACATTACAAACTGTGAACAGCAACAACAACAATTATTTCTCATGGATTAGGAGCCCACAAAATTGACTTAAAATTATCACGACAGTGAGAGTGATCACAGAAATGAGTCAAAATATTAGCGGTCAGAGATGCCAAAAGGCCACTTTCATCCTGCCTTCCTGGGAATTTGCTGGGTCGCAGGTATAAAGCCACCATTTACTCTCCGCTTCCTTTATGGCAGAGCTCGCTGAAGCGAGACATTGCTGTGTCGTTCGTGTTCCTGAGACCTTGT